CGCCCTTCATGGTAGATGCCGTCTTCGGGACCCGGAGTAGGCTGGTGCGGATATGCAGATCCATGGCCAGCCTCGGACTGTACCAAGGGGCTCGCCATGACTTTTTCCGTCTGTCAGTCGAAATGGGGCCGTTTGAAGGGAACTGGGCAAGGGAGCTGGCCACGATACTGAACCATCTTAGTGCAGACGGCCTGTTCGTTCCGAGCGACATGCATTGGAAGATAGTATATAGGAATGCCGCGATAGGGGAGACGTTTCTGGAAGGGGTACATGACCTGTGGTATGAGGAGGACGAAGACGACTCGGACGAGGAGGAGGGGATTGAGGATTGGGATTTCTAAAAGAAAGGGGCTCGAGGCTGTATGGCGTAGGTGGATTGGGGTTGTGCAGGGGATCAAGGATGGCAAGGGAGCAAAGCATGATGGAATGGATGTTTAGAGGATGGACTCCTACGCGGTTTGAGGGAGGGGTGGAGATGGTCCTACCCACGAGGAATGAATGGAGAGGGGCGGCCTGTGACTGGGTAGGGGTAGAAGTCGTAACCGCTATGTCCTTTCTATGGGTAGAGAGGGTATGGAGGCCGGTCAGGGAAAGTGAGGCGTGGGATGAGATAGTTGAGGGGGATGTGGAGTTACTCGGGACCGTGTACCTGTCAAAGGAGGGGTGACACATGTTTTGTGTTTGCCTAGCCGCCGGGTGGGACCCGGCATGGATCCTAGGAGAGGCCGAGCGATGGACCTGGGAAATGGGCCGAGAATTCGCGAACGAAGGATGGGATGAAGTAAGGAGCAGGGTCGTGCTGGGAGGATGGGAGGAGCTTAGGTTACCGTGTCAGCTGGTTCAGACTTGGGTCCCACACTTCGTGGCGAATTGGTTCGGAGGATACGAACACATCCGGGCGGTTGCGGATTCGTTGAGTGAGGTGGATTTGGGGTTCACCTGGTTAGTGGACGCCTACTATAGGACCTCGCTACGACTAGGGCCCTTCCACGGGGACCGCGCCACGAAAGTGGTTGAGATCCTAGAGGCCCTTAAGGACGATCGTTTTACGATGGAGGACGAGGTCGAGGAGGCAATACTCCACCGGGAGGTGGCCGCGACCCCCTCGTATGTAGGGGATGTGTTCCTACTATTTGAACGGGTTTGGGTGTAAGAGTAAGCCTAGGGGCGCCATGGAAGGGGGGGGCTTGCACGCATGGGAAGGAAGGATAGCACAGACACAGTTAAGAAGCACGGGAGGGGGTTGTAGGACTAAAAGAAGAAACGTGAAATCGTGTTGGATGCAGCAGTTAGGGACTAGGAGCAGGAAGCGACGCGACATGGCCAGGCGAAGGACGCTCTCGGAGGATCGGCCCCACGGAATTCAGCCGCCCCAGATCTCGGAAGGAAGGATGGAGGTTACCATGCCAACCAGGGGTGGGGTGCACAACCAGGTGATGGATTGGGTGGGGGTAGAGCTAGTAGAGGATATGGTGTACCTGGTGGTGGAGCTAGAATGGCACGCAAGGGGGGAATTCGGGGGAGTGAGCCTGGATCTGCCAGGGCGTGTGCACGCCACGGGGTCCCTGTACCTATCCGAAGAGGGATGGCAGACCTTCGGGGTGGCCTTGGCCGCCGCTGGCGGCCGTGCGGATGTTCGAAGGGGCGTGGCAAGTAACCTGGAGGGAAGGGTTCACGTTCGCAGATCCGGAACGGGATGACGTGACGACAACCGTTCGAGTGCTCGAAGTGGGGGCCTGCATCTTGCCCCACGAGAGCGTACGTATGAGTTTGCCGCCCTTCGTACTCGGCCGCTTGGGGGGAATGGAGCATGTTGAGCAGGCGGTAGCAACCTTGAGTAGGCTAAACTTTAGCGACATGATGGTGTGCCAAGAGTATTACCGAGCCTTCTTAGAGCTGGGCCCTTTTGAAGGAGATCAGGAATATGAGGTGTTGAGAATCCTACATGCTGTTATAGCGACCAGGCCAGGAGTGCCCACGATAACTGAGGAAGTTTTGTGGGAGGTGGTTAGGCGCGAGATAGGTTGCGGCTTGGCCTATGTGGACGATGTCTACCGACTATTCGAGGAGGTGGACAGATAGGGGCGCAGGGAAGGAGGATGGGAAAATAGGGGGAGAATGGTAGGAAACTAGAAACACGGCTGTGATATCAGGGGGAGGATATGGGAAAAATAAAAAGAGAGATTTTTTCTTATTTTTCTGTGTGGGAAACTTGTGGGGCAATGGCAAGGAGACGTGTCCGTACGGCACAGCGACCCGCGCACCTGCGACTGTCCTTGGAAATCGGCAACGGATGGGAAGTGTCGCTCCCGGCGAGCTACGAGGTTCGAGGAATAGATGTGGAATGGCGAGTTGTGATCTTGGGGCAAAACCAGGCCTTCATGTTGGTGGAATGTCTGTGGAGTGGGATGAGATTTAATAGGGGGACAGGGGACGATCTGTATACCGACCTCAGGGTGACCGGAACTCTGTACCTCCCCGAGACCGGGTGGCAGATGTTGGGAACGGAATTTTGGCCCTAGGGCATGGGTTGTTACTGATTTTTCGGAGAGCGGCCAGGGCACTAAACCAGATAGGGCACGATGTTATGGGGAGAAGGAACGTGGGCTTAAGGATGCGGGTAGAAGTAGGGGGATGGCGAGAGTTCAGGGCCCCGACATCCGGCCTGCGCTGTCGGGTGCCCCGCTTCATGATAGACTTGATATTCGGAAGTCTCTCTCGGGCAAGGGAGTTGGTGAGTTCGACCGTAGTCTGGAACCACCACTTCCAACCGCAAACGACAGGGATGTTTTACGACGTGGCAGCGAGGTACGGGCCGTTTTGGGGAAACCGGGCGCGTGAACTGCTTGAGCTCATTGAGATTTTAATATTTGGGGCGCCTCGCCTATCCTTCGAGGAATATGAGCCAGTAATCATTAGGGAAATTGAGATGGGGGAGAACTACCTAGCGGGAGTGGCGAGGATGTTCGAAGAGCCGGACGAAGAGAACGAGCCTGAGGAGCCGGTGTGAGCGAAACGCCGGGGAACACCGCAGGGATAAGGTATTTCAAAAGGAACGGCGGAGATAAGACTAATGAGCCCGCAAAAAGGCAGCGGCCAGAGTCCTTTCTCGACCAGGGTTGTGGTAGGAAGGATGAGGATGGACGGGGCGACCAACAGGGCGAAGAAAATGCCAGGGGCGAACAAAAGGAGGAGGAGGGCCGGCCACAAGGGTGGGAAAGTCTACCCACCTTGAGGACGCCGTCCTCGAAACAGGGGAGAGGCAGACCGAGAACACCAGCCAAAGCCATTAGAATCGGTATGAAGGAATAAGTGGAGTTTCGTAGTATATGAGGAAAGCATGAAAATGATGTGGCAAGAGGAAAATGGGGAGATTGTGGGTGAGAAAGAATCTGGGGACTAAGGGAACCTTGAGGGCTGAGACCTACCTGTCGTGTCGAAATTTTGTTTTTCCATATACAGGGCTAGAGAGAGAAAGAAATGGCAACGGGCGAGGGTGCCGAAAGTCAACAGGACGACGAGAACCTGGGTGTAGACGAAGATGTAGAGCGAGAAGAGGACGCCTTAGGGGACCGGGAGTCAGCGAAGTCGCCAGGGGCTAGAGAAGGGAGTAAGGAAATCGTCCCCAGTGGAAGCTCGGGGAAGGACGGAGGAAGCAAGCGAGGAATCCAGGAAACTAAGGAGGTTAGAGACAAAGGCAGCCCAACACGCCAGCACCTGGAAGGCGCGGAACATAAGAAGGTAAGACTGACAGATACGCGGAAGAGGCTGGTAGAAATAGAAAGGAGGACGACAAAATTTAGACCAAAATTACTGGAAGAAATAATGAACAAGAGCGAGAGGAACTCGGCTGACGGAAGGATACGAGAGGAAGAGGAGGCAAGTCAAGGGAAAGGGGGTCAGGACGCTGACACACAGCAGAGGAAGGATCGGGCCAAGGATCCCAGGGGGACCCCAACGAGGAAAAAGAAGGAAAAAGCGGACTCTCCCGGAAGGGATGTAGAGAGACCTACCAACCCGCCTCTCTTGGATAGTGGCGCGAGCCGACCTTCGGCGTCCCTAGCAATCGCTAGGGGGTGTGAGGGACTCTGGAGTTTGAGGGAGAGAGTGTTGGGGTGGTTTGATCCGGAGGGGACTGCGAGGACGAGAGGAAGACCAGACACAAGCAAGGAAGATTTGGGGGCCGGATCGGCGGCAGGGTCAGGAATGGTCGAAGGAGGGCTTAGGAAAGTTGTGTCATCTCTCACCCGCGCGTCAAGCAAAAATCAGGGATACTTGGCCGACGCTAAGAAGAAACTGACCTTTGACGAAGCAAATATCACTAAGTTCCTGATAGATTATGAGAACCTGGCGGCACTCCTGAGGTGGAGCGAGGAAGAGAAGATGGAGCACTTAGGGCAGCACGTGTCGTTGAACCTAGGGAGGGACATAATGGCGATCGTCGCCACGACTGGGTCGTGGAAGGAGGCTCGGGACGTGGTGATGAGAAAGTACTTGGCAGCCGAGAAGATGGCCACGGAAGCAGAATTGGGCGCTGTGCAAAGAAAGGACTTCGCAACGTACAATGACTTCCTGAGAGAGTTTGCTCCCGTAGCGCTGCGCATCCCAGGGGTGACCGATCGAATAATGAGCAAGTATTTCCTAAGACAGTTCACAAAGTTCGATAAGGACAAAATCCTGTCAGCCTACGAGCAAACCACAAAATTCCTGATCACAAGGGATGTTGACTTCATCACGATAACCGACATTGCGGAGAAAATGGTCGTAAACAACTCGCTGGCCCTGTTAAAAGAAGGGGAAGTCATAGACCTAACGGCAAGACGGGTGATAAGGTAAAGAGAGGGATCAAGAGTCTGCATGAGCGGGTTCATGGGGTAGACGGGAAAATCGAGAGAGTAGAGAACGCCGTGATGGTAATGCAAGCCCAGGTTTCGCAGAGCCAGGCAGTACGGCCTCCTCTCCCGCCTCAGGAAGCGATCGCGCTCGCAGGTATAGCCAACCGTGGGAACAATCGAAGGGACCCGGCCAACGAGCAGTGCAAATATTGCACGCTGATCGGACACTTCGTACGGATGTGCCCGAGGCTCAACCATGATATTATGCTTAGACGTTGCTCCAGGACCCCTGCGCGGAGAAATTTTAGGACCCCGGGGGGAGAGAATAAATTGGAATTCGCCAGGAGGAATGCGTCGGGCCGTGATTGCATTCAACAACCTAGATGCCCCTGTAGTAGAAGCTGAGCCTGTGGCGGAACTCACTTGGGGGCAGGCGCAGGGACGAGGGGCCCAGGGCAATTTCATCATGGAAAGCGATGGACGGGATAGGGTTAACGTGACCACTAGGCAACGGACCGCCGCAAAAAAGGTCGTGCATGATGCGATCATGGAGGATACGCAGGAAGGACAGAGTATGTCACCAGGAGTAACAGAGTCGGACCAGGACAGAGCCTATGGGAAACCTAGGGATGAGACCCCCGTCGATAAGGCAACAACGACAAAAAAGAAGTTCCGGTACCAGATACCCATCCTCGCCACGCCGGAGATCGATGACACCCTTGGTAAACTGCTAGGGACCATGCTGTCGGTATCATTCCAGACGATGTTATAGGCTAGCCCTAGACTTCCTAAGGGACTCAGGCACCTATTAACAAGGCAAAGGGTCGAAGTAGAGGAGGAATCAGGGCACCGGGAAGAAGAGAAGCAAGAAGAAGCATCGCAAGAAGTCGCAAACTTCCAGAGGGTCCCCGACGACCTAGAGGATTTGGAAAAAGCCTTTGCGAATATTCGGCTGAGCCTGCCAGATCGGGAGGGAGGCGAAGTCATGAGGGCCCCTCCCGGTACGAAGTTAAGCTTTCACGCATTACGGGTAGGCAAGCTACGGGTTCAGATCGGATGCCACCATACGGATGCGCTAGTAGATGGTGGGGCTGAGATCACACTCATACGAAAGGACTTCGTGACGATCGCGGGGTGCCCGATAAACAGGGAAACTACCGGGAGTGTCCGGGGAGCTGGCGAGGAAATCCCCTTCTCCGGGTATGTCACCAAATGCACGGTCAAAGCCGGGGTTAGGGAGGAGTCTATATGGTCGTTCCAACGGATGCCTGTCATGGACGAAATGGACCATGACATAATCCTCGGAAGACCGTGGTGTGCAAATGTGGAAATGATAGGCATGCATCTCCATGATGGGGCATGTATGGTGGACATAGAGGACCCAGTAACGGGGTGCGGCGAGTTGCTCCGCCTTATCGGAACTAGGGGAGACACACCCAAAGGGAAATTGGCAACCTGGTCGCCTTCCTTCGAGGAGAGCGCTAGAAAGGGGGCTTTCACACGAATGGAAGGAATGAGAGAGAGGGTGGAAATAATGATAGAAGAGGCGTTCCGCAAGAAGGAGTGGGTCAAGATGGGGCTTCCACAGAAAAAGCGGAGGCCAGATGAAGATGCCGTAGGAGTTATGGTAGTGGAAAAGGAAACAAAAGTGGAACTGGGAGCGAGTCTGCCAAAGCGCGAAGAGGCCCGAGGCAAAGGCACCAGGATAACACCAGAAATTCCGGATCTATTCCACCTAATCAAGGCGATCAGGTATCACAAGGTAGGAGTTGACACCGCCTCTCTCGCCAGGTGTGAGGAGAAAGTTTGGAAGGGCTACTGCCTGAATGGTGAGTTAGTTAGCATTCAGCCTCGAATTGCGGAAGTAGCACAAGCAACCCCGGCGGTTCATTTTTTTAGAAGAAAGATCCGGGAAGGAAGCGTTCGCAAATATAAACCAGTAGGAAAAAAGGCGAAGCCAGTCTCGATCTTATTGGAAATGACTAAGGAAGAGGCCATGGAGAAGGAGGAAGAAGTCCTTCGGGTAATCAAGGAAAGGAGGGCAGCCGAGGGGCATAGGATACCGGATGAAGTAGCACAGACCATGAAGATAGGTGAGGAAGGGTTTCCGACGGAACAAGAGACACGGGTAATCAAGGAGGCATGCCAGGAGTTCCTCTTAGCCTTCGTCTTTAATGACCACCAGAAGGGGCGGCTAGATGCAAAGTTGATTCCGCCAGTCAGAATCCACATAGTTGAGCATGAGTGTTGGAATGACAAAGGGCCCGCCTATGACTTCGGAATCGCGGGGGAGGTAACAGAGCTTCTCAGGGCGAAGATGGACTCTTTTGTGGCGGAGCCTACCGCATCGCCATACGCCAACAAATGGTTCGTATTTCGAAAGCCCAACAAGTCCCTAAGGTAGATCCAGGATTTGCAGAAGTTAAACGTCGTCACCATCCGAGACGCGGGGTTGCTACCCCAGGCGGACCTCCTGGCTGAATCCTATGCCGGGAGTAGCATTTACTCGTTGATAGATCTGTACTCGGGTTACGATCAGCTTCCGCTGGATGCCCGTGTCAGACCCTACACGACTATGCATACTCCGGTAGGCCAGTTGTAAATGCAGGTCATGCCCATGGGTTTTATCAACACAGTAGCAGAAGCGCAAAGGAGGATGCTTGTGATCGCAGGGGACATGTTTCCTGCGAGGTGTGAACCCTATATCGATGACAATCCCGTAAAAGGGGTACGTGAAAAGGATGAGACGGAGGTGCAGTCGGGAGTGAGAAAATTTGTGTGGGACCACCTACAGGATATCAAAGAGCTGCTCCGGAGGTTCCCAGCGTATAATATAACTGCTAGCGGCCCAAAGAGTATCCTGGCAGTTCCGGAAGTCACCATTCTGGGATTCCGTTGTGGAGCATACGGAAGGAAGCCGGACCCGGCTAAGACTGACAAAATTGCTCAATGGCCTACACCCCTTCGAACCACAACAGAAGTGAGGGCCTTCCTGGGCATCGTAGGCTTCTGGAGAATCTTTATAAAGGGGTTCGCGAAGATAGCAGAACCTATTCGGGCCATGATCCGCGAGGAAGGCACGCTTGACTGGATCGAGGACCGGGAGGCGGCCGTCTAGACCTTGAAGAAGATATTGACATCCGAAGAAGTTACCCTTGCCGCCCCGTGCTTCAATGACGAAGTAGGACGCCCCTTCATGCTTGAAACCGATGGGGGACCGTTAGCCGTAGGTGGGATATTGATCCAGAAAGGCGAAGATGGGAGAGAGCGTCCCATTAGATTCGAGAGTAGAACACTCAACTCCGCCGAGCGTCGCTATTCTCAGTTCAAGGAGGTGCTTGCGATACTCCACTGCCTCAAGACCTTCCAAGCGTATCTCTTTGGGAGAAGGTTCATATTGAGGATAGATCCGACCAATGTCGCGGGAGCCTTAAAGAACTATAGGCCTATCGATCCCACCGTGGGAAGATGGGTAGGGTTGATTTGGCAATTTGACTACGAGATTGAGCGTATAGTTGGTGTTAGGAATCGAGCAAACGGCCTGAGCAGGGTGAGCCTTACGCCGGAGGGACTAGAAGAAGCAGAGCCGATCGATGCATTCCTCGATCACGAAGGAGGGACTCTGGTGGTGGATAATGAGATGGCTGGGACCGCCTGCATGACCGGAGAATTGTTTATCAAAGTGTTAGAGAAGGGGCCTTCCACGGTGGTAGCAGAACTCAGAGAAGGGGTGGTCACCAAAGTTGGACGAAAGGAGGAGAAGGACGCTTGGGGTAGTATTGTGGGGCCTCGGGAAGAACGGATGGCACTAGCCATAGAAGGCGGGTGGAGAAGGGTGATGAACGTGGTGGAGTCATGGGAACAGGAAAAGCAACAGTACGCGGTTAGCCAAATGTGTGACGCTCAGCCGGGCTCCCGGCAGGAGGAGGAGTTCTTTTTCATCAAGTCGTACGATGGTATTTTTAGGGAGATTGGGCTGCTGTTGGTAGGAAACAAGGATGGCCACGAAGTCAGTCCTAAAGCCAGAGAAGAGGCAGACAAGTATGTGCTAAGGAGAGGGCACCTGTTTCGGAAAGAGGAGGGCTTGACACCCAGGAGAGTAGTATGCGGGAAGACGAGACAGGTAGACATAATACAGGCGATGCATGATGGGTTGGCCGGCGGGCATCGGTCCTCAAAGGGTACCCTAGCCAAAATAACACCACTCTATTACTGGTCGGGAATGGGTTCCATGGTTGCCATATATTGTCAGACCTGCCGAATCTGCCAGGAGCGGAGTACGACGCGGGTGTTTGGCCACTCAGGCCCACACGAGTGTTGGGGCCAGGACATATGGTGCATCTCGATCTGGCAGTTATGCCAGTATTGACAAAGGGGTACAAGTACATACTCGATGCTAGGGACAACCTTAGCGGGTTTGTGGAGGCCATGGCAATAAAGAAGAAAACAGGGCTGGCAGTGGCCGATTGGGTTGAAGATTTCTACCTGAGGCACCCGTTCATCAGGAGGTTTATAGCCGACAATGGGACTGAGTTCGTAAATCAAGACGTCTTGAACACCTGCAAGAGGCTAGGGGTGCCCCTCAAGCTGATTGAACCATACCACCTGGAGGCTAACGCGCCGGTAGACAGAGGGCATCAGACGCTCAAGAACACGATTGCGAAGCTGGCAGCAGACGACCTCGGGAATTAGCCCAAGTACCTCTGGCAAGCTGTGTTCGCTGAGAACGTGACTCCTAAGGGTACCACGGGATGTGTCCCGACAGAATTATGGTATGGAAGGGAAATCGACTTCCCGATAAAAACCTTAGTACCCATATGGAACAAACTGGAGGAGGACCCTCACCTGACTACGGAACAATTGATCGAGGCTAGATGCGAGCAGGCGGCTAAAAATGAGGAAGCCTTGGAAGAAATTGTGAACAGGGTCTTTGATAGTCGGATGAAGGATAAGAGCAGGTTGGACCAACTAAAGAATATTAGGAAGGAGCCATTGCAAGTGGGGGAAATGGTTCTGATCAGGAATTCGGCACTAGAAAGCACATGGTCGAGACAACTAGGGCGAAGATTCAAGGGGCCCTATCGTGTCACTAAGAGGATGGGAATGAACACCTTTTAGGTTGAGGACTTGGATGGGACCAGCATAAAAGGGCCGTTCCCTGCGCAGCGGCTGGTCAGATTCCTCAACAGGGATCCGGTGGAGCAATGGCTATAAGAAGCTCAGGACAAGGAAGCAGAAGAATAGGTCGCTCAGTATGGCGACAAGGATTCTACTTATCACATGTGTTTCTCTTTGCCTTTGTTGTTTTCCTTTTTTTCGTGTGTGTGTGCATGGGAAGGACATGGGATCCCGTTGGGACATTGTACCATAGTTTTTGTGGGGACACTGGGGATGGATGCCAAGGGCTGGGCATTGTATCATAAGGGTGGGGATGAGGAGATCTCTGAGGGCAAGATGCCGTGACTACCCAATGGGATAAAACGAGGCTTGGGGGCGCATGTGACCAAGACTTGGGATGGGACCACGTGTTTGGGGAACCGGGTGGCCATAAGGACGAGACAGGACTGGACTTTAGGAGGGCTCCATAATGGGGGTGCATTGGGGCCTTTCCTTTTACTCTGTTGATATTGATTACGGGCACAAAAGACAACCTAAGCAAGATGGAGTTCAATAACAAGAATGACATTAACCGGGCAAACACCGCTTGTGAGGATCCGTGGAGGCAGCCAGACAGACCGCGAGATAGACAAAGACCGGTGCTGGTTATTGGGCCAGAGCCAAGAGCACCACTAGGGAAAAGAAAGAGGAAGTTGTCTGCCTGTAAACCCTCGCCTACCAAGGAAGGCGAGGTACTACCCGCCTGGTCAGGAGAGGAGGATGAACAGGGAATGGAGGGGAACGGGGAAGAAACTAAGCAAACCAATCATAACGAGGAAAGGCAGGAAGGAGAGGACATTGACTTGGAAGATGACGTTCAGGAAGTCGTTGCAATAAGCAGTGAGGACGAGATGGATGAGATATCAAGACCAAGGGAGGAAAGGCAGTCTCCGACAAAAAGCCCGGATAAAGGAGCCACCAATTGGAAGAAGAATTTGGGCCAACGCCCAGTCACTGGTTTGAGCAATGGGCAAGCGTGGTTAAGCACGAGTTGATGATTAAAGCACACAAGTTGATGGCGACCGGGAGAACACCTACGCCGTTGGACTTTTTCACTGAAAAGGATCTGCAGTTGGCAAAGGAAAAGAGGGATGAGATTCATACTTATGGGTTGGGCATGGAGCCACGCTCGAGGGATAGCAGCAAGAAAGGGGCTAAACGCCAAAGGACAAATTCAAGTGCTAGGGATTAAGGATGGGTTGGCAAGGGAACGCGATGGCAAGAGCGATGGGCGGCCAGAATTGGGATAGTCGGTTGGGTCGTGAAAGGCATGAGATTTGACTAGATGAACTGGACTTTCTTTCTTTTTGCTGAGATCCTGCTAAAGGAACTTTTGAAAGGGACCGGTTGGGACAAGTATGCCAAGTCATGGTATGTAGAGACATCTGCTAGATTGGAACTTGTCAACAGGCACGGGGTGGGATGAGATAAAAGGGAAAGAGCAACTTTTTGTATGAAGCTACTTTTCGATTTCAATTTTGTAAGGCTGGACGGGAAATCGATTAAGACATGAACACCGAGTATTGTTTCTCTAAGTAAATGTATTTTTGTTCTCGGGAGCCATGAGACTGGTTGTAATGGATGGACATGGGACTTGACGTGGGATCGGTTGCAAAGACTATAGGTTCAAAAGAAAATGTATTTTCGCATGTGTGAGGATCAGGTTGTACATTGTCAGAGAGGTTAGGGAACCTATGGGTAGAACGGCATGACAATGCCTTCCCCTAGGAGCCTAACCCAACCGAGTCAACGCCATGTTGCAAGTCATGAAAATGAAACGAGCGAAGTATGTGAGACACTGGGTATATGGTTGGACGGACGGGCGGACTAGCGTTGCCGAAGGTTGGATGTTTCCGCCTGCACACTAGACGTTAAGTCGGATGCATGCGAACGAAAAAGGACAAGCAAAAAGCTTTGATAAGGAAAATTTGAAGAGATAGCACGCTGAAAACTGATGGCCACCACCTAACCCCTAAGGGATATTCGGATCCGAGCCTCCCAAAGCCCATCCCCTCGGGCGTCAGTACTGGAATTGGAAAAGGAATGACCCTAACCAGGCTGTTCAAAGATCAGATTTGGAAAAGGAATGGCCCTAACCCGGCTGTTCGAAGATCAGACTTGGAAAAGGAATGGCCCTAACCAGACTTTTCAAGGATGAGATTGGAAAAGAAGAGCGACCCTAATCAGGTTGTTCGGAGATGACCCCTAACAAGGGTTGCCTCTTTGGAAATGGGCACTGGGGTCCCTTTGCATGACTGTCTGTGGATTGGCTGCCTTATGAATGAGTAAGAAAAGGGTCGTGGGGTCGGTCATTGAATTGGACATATTGAGAAAGGGTCGTCGGGTCGGTCATTGAAATTGACATATTGAGAAAGGGTCGTCGGGCCGGCCATTGAAATGGACATATTGAGAAGAAGGTCGTCGGGTCGACCATTGAAAAGGGAAGTTGGAAAAACGATCGTCGGGAGGGTCATTGAAGTGGAGGACTTGAGAAAGAGGCCGTCGGCTCGGCCATCGAAATAAAGAGATTGAGAAAAGGAAGTTGGGAAAGAGACCGTCGGGA